TCTAGATTCCAATCTCCCTAGACATTCCAATCTCCCTAGTCCCCAATCTCCCTAGATTTCAATCTCCCTAGATTCCAATCTCCCTAGTCCCCAATCTCCCTAGATTTCAATCTCCCTAGATTCCAATCTCCCTAGTCCCCAATCTCCCTAGATTTCAATCTCCCTAGATTCCAATCTCCCTAGTCCCCAATCTCCCTAGATTTCAATCTCCCTAGATTCCAATCTCCCTAGTCCCCAATCTCCCTAGATTCCAATCTCCCTAGATTCCAATCTCCCTAGATCCCAATCTCCCTAGACCCCAATCCCCCTAGGTCCCAATCTCCCTAGATTCCAATCTCCCTAGATCCCAAACTCTCTAGACTCCAATCTCCCTAAATTCCAATCTCCTTAGACTCCAATCTTCCTAGACCCCAATCTCCCTAAACCCCAATCTCCCTAGACCCCAATCTCCCTAAACCCCAATCTCCCTAAACCCTAATCTCCCTAAACCCCAATCTCCCTAAACCCCAATCTCCCTAAACCCCAAATTTCCATTCCGTATAATGCATATATGACACAGAAGAGCCGTGGCAATATAACGCGAGTGAAACTGCAAAGCTAAATAAATAAAAGTTAAATGCGAATCGTAGAAAAATTCCATTACTTTCCATAAAAGGTTTTGGAAAGGATAAGTTCTTTTGTTTGATGGAAACAACAGAGTTGCTATATTACAGAGCAAACATGAAAGAAGAAATTGGAGACGGGCAAGGCAATTAACGGTATCGATTTATCGGACGTAATTGGAGCTTGTTTCTCTGGCAACCGGTGGTGTCTAGCCGGGGAAATGAGGTACAATAAGGAAAAGGGGAGGAAAATAGTTTGGGAAATCTGTCCAACGAGAGACTCTCTCCGATAAATTAAACGGATGCGCCGGCTAACCTACCGCAACGTGGAATGCCGGGGAAATAACTTGGACCGTGGCACAAGCACCGCTACCAATTTTCGCGCTGATGTGTCTGGTCTATGGTACAGGCTCTTTCAAAAATAATTATTCTGCAATGTCATCGGGTAGAATTTTTTAGCGAACGTATACTGAATTCTGTAATTCTACAATTGTGAAACTTCTTAAGTATCAAAATGCCGGTTCCTGAAATTAACACTAGAACTACCGACATTAAATGCTCGTTTATCGAAGAATGAAAAATAAAATGAAAAGGGAAATAAATATCAAAGCATCAAGTAACATATAGAACTAGTTTTTACCTCAATAAAATATGAAAGACATTTCCATAGAATGACGACAATAAAATTTTGCAATATAAAATGAGAAATCTGAAACCAGTCGTTTTGACTGGTTGGTAGTTCTAGTGTTTACTTGATATCCACAGCCCTATATTACTGGTTACCTATGTTCTTAAACCTTAATAACTATAGAACTCTGAATACCTAAAAGCCAATATCCTTAGATCCTTAAATACCCGAATCCCTAAATCCCCAAATTCCTAAATTCCAAATCCCTATCCTCTAACTTCCTACTATGTCCCAACTCCTTATGTCCCCAAATCCATACACGTCCTCAAATCTCTACGTCCCCAATTCCCAGCGTCCCCAAATCTCAGAATCCCCAAATTCCACAATCCTTAAATCCCAGAACCTCCAAATCCCAGAATCCCCAAATCCCAGAACCTCCAGATCCCTACGTCCCAGATTCCCAACGTCCCCAAATCTCAGAATCTCCAAATCCCAAAAGTCCCTAAATCCCAGAACTTCCAAATCCCTACGTCCCCAAATTCCACAATCCTTAAATCCCAGAGCCTCCAAATCCCAGAATCCCCAAATCCCAGAACCTCCAAATCTCTATGTCCCCAATTCCCAACGTCCCCAAATCTCAGAATCCCCAAATTCCACAATCCTTAAATCCCAGAACCTCCAAATCCCTACGTCCCCAATTCCCAACGTCCCCAAATCTCAGAGTCCCCAAATCCTAAAAGTTCCTAAATCCCAGAATTCCCAAGTCCCAAAAGTCCCCAAATCCCAGAACCTCCAGATCCCAGAATCCTCAAATCCCACAACCCCTAAACCTCAGAACTTCCTATGTCCCAACTCCTTATATCCCAAGTCCCTAACCCCCACTGCCTATGTCCTAAGTCCCCATCCCCTAAATCCCCATATCCCCAAGTTCTCACTAAAATAAATTTGATAGCTGATACAGTTAAGTTTGCGCTGAAACTTATCTACTAAGGAGAGAATGCAGCGAATGTGTGTTAATAGCAGTTCCGCTAGTGCTAATCGGTTGATAGCAAAATTGCACCGGTGTCACGTCCTGAATGTGTAAAAGTCGTAAAATTACGTGTAACTGAATGAGTCATTGCATTACCATAGTACTTTATTACGAGTTACGTCATCCGCGGGAATAACCGTGGACAACATTCTTAGTCTTCTTTCTTCCCTCTCTACTTCATATACAGGTCATCATTCTTTTTTCCTTGCGATCACTTTTCTATTTCTATCAGACAAACTCAACGATAACTTTCTACGTTTCTAAATTCACTAAATAGTAGAATAAATAAATAAATAATAAACCAGAAGAAAAGAAGAATAAATAAAATTCAGAAATTAAAATAAGTAAAGTAAATAAGAGAGCAAAAATGTAATAGAAAAGAGAGAGCACAGTTCAGCGCCCAACGTTTCAATATTCCTTGAGCGTCGCACGCTGTCACGTAATCAGCATTTAATTAAAAAGAGGCAGATACACGACGGGGTTAAAAATATTCATTTGCGAGAAGGATATCGCACCTCA